TCATCAGGTTACACATGTAAGAAATTTGTGAAAGATCTTGAAACTTATGATGTGTCCTGGCTCATTCATACATGTAATGGTCACTTGTGTTAGTGACTGGACCATTTCACAACTTTTTGGGGAAAAAAGTGAACATGTAGAAAACTGATAATAATATAAATAATTACTGTTTGTAGAAATATATTGTTTCCTGTGGAATGCAATTGATATGTCCCTGAAGACAATGACTTATTTTGCCAGTTTTCCATTCATTTATGTATTCATTTCAGCATTTGCCATCACACTGTAAGTTATCTTTGAAGGGTTATAACAACACTGATCCCCTCTTCAATTAATAGGTTAAATAAATTCTTTGCACATGTTTATTTTATATTTGTCTGACAGCCATGACTTTATCCTTTTTTGAAAAATCTACCCTAGAACACAAATATATTTTAGTATAATTTAAACTTATTTTTAAGATAGTTTTTCTAACAAGTTTTTCCTACCCCTGTCCAACTATGGAATTCCATTTGTGTATATATTTAATGGCTGTGAAAATTTCAGTTCTAATACTTTATAAGACAATGGTGAGTCCTTTTTATTGCATCTAATTAGGAAAAATAAGACTCATGAGAGGAAAGTAGAGACCAGAAGTAAAATAGAGGTGGAGAAGTAAAAAATAAACTTTTATTTTTTCATTTTCCAATAAGGTCATGCACAATTTAAAAAAGCAGGAAGAAAAATAAATGCAGGCCTAGGACTGCCTTCTTCTCTAAGGAGAAAGAAATGAAGCCAAATGCTGTTCTTTGGCTTGAAGTTACCATAGAAAGAACTGAGACCTTATAAAATGAGCATTTGGAAAAGAGAAAGAAATATCTGCTTTATGATGATGGTGAGCATATTAAATACAGGAGACTCAAGCCTTTTTCCAGCTCAAATATCCAAGTTCTTTCCCTGGTGAAGAGAGTGAGGAGATAAAACAGAAGAGATGAGGCTGACAAAGACGCAGGTCTTGAGAGCATAAGACTAAATAACAGAAAACCAGAAAAGCATTGATAAGTCTATCACTGAACAAGGTTTTTAGTTTATGTGCCATAAAGAAAAATACATTCATGAGTGTCTAAGTAAAACTCAAAGAGAGAGAAATGCCCAAAGTTTTCTACTGGGTAATTAGAAAAGTCATAACATGTTTTTTCTATGCAAAAATTCATCATGGCTTTTCTGACAACCCAATAAAGGAAAAGAAGGAAATTGGCATTAAAGATGCATATATATACTTACAGTTTAAGGTACATAAAATATTAATGCTGTCTTTATGAATAAATATTATTTTATCTGAGATGGCATTCAAAATATTTAACAACCTAAAGGCCTAGGCAAGGCTAATGTGGAAGAATACGGGGTGCAGCTAGAGCGAAGTTTTCAAAGTCTTTTTCTATATCTAACATTGATTTATCTCATGCTGCATTATGGTAAGTCCAGTGGGCATTAAGGGTTTAACCAGAACCACTGAGATATGGGTCTGGCATTTGGAAGGCTTGGGGGCAGTGACTATTTACAGACTGGATAAAAGTATTCCACTATTTTAAATAAAACACTCTCTTACATAAATACTTAGCAAGGTGGTTCGCCTCTTCTGTTAAAGGACAAAAAACTTATTTAAAAAAAGTTATTGGGACCAGCAGTTAGCATAATGGCTATGTCACTGGACTCCCACGGAGTCAACCGCGGTTCGCGACCCGGACCCGGTGGCTTAAAACTCACGCCGGGCGCGTGTGGTGCGTGCCCAAGATCCCGAGAGGAGAATGGAGGAGAAGGGATTGTGGTGTGACCATCCCCCCCTGGGGGGTGATTTCTCGCTTTCTGCCTCTCTGTCTCTCTCTGTCTGTCTGGAGAGCGCACGCGCCCTATGCGAAAACCTCTCAAAAAAAATATATTATCACTGTGGGAGTTAGGAATGGATATAGCTAGGACCAATAGAAACCTTACCCCAGTGACTTAAACAGAAGAGTATTTTCCTGTCATAAAAGCACAAACTAGAAGTGCACACTTATCTTTGCCTTCACACCATGCCAGTCTTTCTCATCATGTTTTTTGCCTCATGGTGACAAAATAGTACCTGCACCCCATACTTCACATCTAAATTTTATATGAGAATAAGATGGAAGAGGAATAGGAATAGTACTTGTCTTAGGAGAACCAAAAGTAGTATTTGTCTTAAAAGTAGGATTTTTCAGAACCAAAAGTTCTGACATACCCGAAGCATATTTTTATTTGCCTATTCAGCAGAATTGTTACATTGCTACCTAGATGCTAGGCAGCCTCAGAAGTTCTATATATTTTTTTAGAAGTTCTATATTTTTTACTGATACACTTTGTTGCCTTCAACAAAATGAGAATTTGTTAGTAAAGATGATGTGGAAAATAAATATTAGTTGCATAAAAACAATGTATACATATTATGAACAGAATGTTCCCCTAAATTTCTTCATCTTTAAAAAGTTTTATTTATTTATTTCTCCCACTAGAGAAAAATAAAGAGATGGTACCCTAACAGGATCTCCAAGCTACAATCTACCCCCAGCCCCACCCAGTCCCAGATTATTGGGTGCATGTGGCCTGGCACAAATTTGGGAAAGTCTCTAAATGCAAGTTCAAGCCTTCTCAAGTAGGTCAACCTCACAAAAGTTATGTTTTACTGCTGGATCACAATCCAGTTCCATCTTAAAATTCTTACGTTGAAATCTTATCCCAATGTGATGGCGTTGCAGCAGGAGCCTTTGGGAGGCAATTAGGTCATGAGAGTGAAATCCTCATGAATGGGATTAGTGCTCTTCTAAGAAGAGGCCTGAGAGCTAGCTGGTTCTCTTTTCTCTCACCTGAGGATGTAACAAGAGGCCAATGGACCCTAGCCCAGAATTTGACCACACTGTCACACTGATCTCAGACTTCTGGCCTCCACAACTATGAGAGATGTTAGTTGTTTAAAAGTCATTCAGTACATGGTACTTGGTTATAGATGCCCTAAGTAGCTAAGACAATATCACACTTGTGTAAAACTTCATCAAAAATGAGATAGAATTGATTCCACCAATAAATTCTGTTTTTTTTTTAATTGAGAGAAATTTTTCTTGTAGAGTATGTGTGCTTGCCAGAGAGACAAAGAGAGACAGAGAAACAAAAAGCAAGAAATCATCCTTTGGGTGGATAGCCACATCACAATTCCTTCTTATTCATTCTCCTCTTTGGATTCTGGGCACATACACACAAGCACCTGGTGTGTTTCAAGCTACTGGGTCTGGGACTTGAACTGCAGTTAACCATGTGGAAGTCCAGCATCATAACCATTATGCCATCTGCTGGTCCCACCACCCATGAGTTCTCAACATTTATGAGAAAGTCTCAGAATGGCAAAGTACCCACTTTACTGCAGTTTTTAACATAACATATTGTGTGCTAAATTTTATATTTAAATCTCACATCTGCAAAGATGTGTATAATCACAACCTCATGTTTAAGTGGAAACTGATGTATTACTTATAAGCATTTCCAAACATGTATAACTAATCAAATTTCTAAGCCAAATTTTTCCAGCCATGTAAAAAATCCACTCCTTATTGACGATTACATAAAAGCTTTTCATGAACGTAAGATTAATTTTTAGTAGCATTTGAGGAGAGAAAAAGAGCGTAATTTTTTAAATTTAAAACTTAGATGAGGCAATCAAATAGAAGGCAATTTTTAACCTAAACATTTTATTTCTGCATTATCTTCCACTTTGAGGTAGTTACTTTTTGTTCTTCCTGATTCTGTTTCTTTTCTAAAGTGATCTTCAATTTCCCTTCATTTTTCTCTACTATTTTTACTTAATTTTTTACTTAATTTTTTTCTCCTCTTGAGAACATAATGTATACAAGAGTAGTAGGGAGGTTTCCTGTAAATTGCCCAACATAATATACTTCTATTCTAGAAAACTGTATTTATTTTTTTCAGTTTGCTATAGGGCATGTGCACTCACCAGGAAGAGAAAGAGAGAATGAGAAATTACTCCCCATAGAGAATGACCACACGGCCATCCCTTCTCCCTTCCAGGTTTTGGGCATTCATGTATACAAACCCAGCTTGTTTTTGAAGCCACCATGTCCATGACTGTAATTGCACAGTAGCTGTCTTAATCTCTATACCATAACTGGTCCCAAAATAGGATTCTCATCTGTCTACAAAGAGCCTTCTCATGGGTTCTAATGCAGAAGTTTGATGTAATCAGTTATATTTTCAGATTAAAAACATCCGTGATGGAATAATATATGTAATAGTTAGAGAATAACCCTTGCAAATATAAAGGGATGTCAAAAAGTACATGGAAAATGGAATTAAAATATGAGTTTATTTTGGTAAAAACACTTTTGAAATCCAGGGGGACCAGCAGATGGCAAAATGGTTATGTGGCTGGACTCCCATGTAGTAGACCATGGTTCGAGTCCTGGATCCAGCAGCTTAAATTTACACTGGAAGCATGTATATTCATGCCTAAGATCTGGACTGGAGAAAGGATTGTGGCCTGGCCATCCCCCTGGAAGGTGATTTCTCACTTTCTGTCTCTCTGTCTCTTCTGTCTCCCTGGCAAACGTTTGTGCCCTATATCAAAAATTTCATTTCTTTTCTTTTTATTTCCTTTTTTTAAAATTTATGATGAAAAGTATGTATTTAGAATTAGCCAGCTGAGGGACCAGCAATTAGCATAATGGCTATGTTGCTGAACTCTCATGTAGTTGATCACGGTTCAAGTCCTGGACCCGGTGGCTTAAACTCATGCCAGGCGCGTGTGCATGTGTGCCCAAGATCCCAAGAAGAGAATGGAGGAGAAGGAATTGCGGCATGGCCATAGCTCCTGCAGTGTGATTTCTCGCTTTCTGTCTCTCTCTGTCTCTCTCTGTCTCTCTGGCGAGCACACGCACCCTGTAGCAAAAATCTCTCCCCCCCCAAAAAAAAGAATTAATTAGCCAGCTGGACTCGCTTTAGATGATGGCAACATCCAAAGCATCATAATCAGGAGCCAGTTGCACACACGCCTTCTCTCCATCAGGCCTGATTAGAGTGTTGACCTTGGCCATAACAATATCATAGAGATTCTTCACAGCCTGTTTGATCTGGTGCTTGTTGGCCTTGACGTCCACAATGAACACAAGTGTGTCTATCTTCTTCATGGCAGACTTGGTTGTCAGGGGGAACTTGATGATGGCATAGTGGTCAAGCTTGTTTCTCCTGGGGGCGTTCTTCCGAGGATATTTAGGCTGCCTCCGCAGCCGAAGAGGCTTGGGCCTCTGGAAAGTGGGTGATATATGGATCTTTTTTGTGTGGCTGTGGGCACCTTTCAGCACTGCCTTCTTGGCCTTCAAAGGCTTTGCTTTAGCTTCAGCTTTGGAAGGGGCAGGAGCTTCCTTCTTCACTTTTGGCACCATCTTGGCCAAAAACTACAGCAAAAATTTCTAAAAAAAAAAAAATTTGAAATCCACACATGACCTTTTTCACAAAGTGCATTTTCCATAATTATTTTGGATACACCATGTAATGTTTGAGCATTGGCTTATATCATCTGAATCTAAGTTTTAGAGAAGAAGTTTTCTCAGAATATAGTTTCCTTTAGGCAACTGTTGATATTACTGATTCTTCTCTTCCCAGTAGAGCAGGGAATGGAGGGGAAATAGAGGCCAACTTATTGAGTTGAGATGCTAATATCACAATATAAAGCATGGAGTACTATCATGCCTCACTCAAATGATTCTCTGGAAAAAAAATGAAGGGTCATGACTCATTTCTAGGATACCTGTTAGCTCTATACTTAGACTATACTTTTATGCAGTTCAAATTATCTTAGTGTAAGTAGACCAAAATACTTATTCCATGGGTTTAAGTTCACATGCTCTAAAATTTCATTGATGACAAGTGTCATCCTTTCCTTCCACCTTTCTCAAAGCCTAGACAAATGCCTATTTGACGTTGATTGAACTTTACCAGCCACCATATCTAACCAGAGATAGCTTTAAATTTGACCAGAATTTCATGACAGTATAAAATATCATGTCTTGTTAGTGAAAGTATAAATTGTTTTTACTTTTTAGATGATTATTCAGTAATGTAACAAGAGCCTTCAAAAAAAAAAATACATAGTGACTCTAATTCATGCTTATACCTGATTCTCCTATGGATCAAGTCACTTTATGTTGAGAGATATTTATCACATCATTTATAAAAGAAAAAGAAGGAATAACCCAATTGTTATGTTATTGGGCCATAACCTAATGTAAAGTAATGGTCAAAGGTAAGTTGGAGGGATCTCACTCCCTGACCCCAAAATATATTACAAAGCTGTGATATTCAAAACAGCATGGTATTAGCACCAAAACAGACATGTGAGCCAATGGAACAGAATAGAGACCCCGAAGTAAACCCCAAAACATACAGCCCACCGATTTTTGACAAAGGGTATCAGTCAAACAGTGGGAAAAGAAAAACCTCTTTAGCTAATTGTGCTGGAAAAACTGGGTATTCACAAGCAGAAAAATTAATCTGGACCCCTATGTCTCACCATTACAAAAATCAACTCAAATTGAATTAAAGATTTAAAACTAAGACCTCAAAGTACAAAACTACTGATGCAAAACACTGGGGAAACTCTGGGAGACATTGGGGTAGGCAGAGACTTCTTAAATAAGACCCCAAAAACACAGGCAATAATCCCAAAAGTAGACAAGTGAGACTACATTAGATTAAGAAATTTCTGTACAGCAAAAGACATAGTAGTCAATATACAAGCCTCAGAATGGGAGAATATTTTTGTTAACTATCCCTCAGGTAAGGGACTGATAAACAGAATACACAGGGAACTCAAGCAGCTTATCCCCCCAAAAAATGTTCAACCCGATTAAAAGATGGGAAAATAAGCCAAACAAACAACTCTCTGAGGAAGACATACAGCCAAAAAGCATATGAAAAAATAGTCAACATCCCTTATCATAAGGGAGATGCAGATCAAAACCACAATGAGATACCACCTATTATTCCCTGTCAGAATGGCAAAGATTAAAGGAAAAAAAAAAAAGATATGTGCTGGCAGGCTGTGTTGAAAGGGGAACTCTCCAACACTGTTGGTGGGAATCTAATTTGGTCTAGCCAATATGGAGAACAATATGGAGGTTTTTCAAATATCTACAAATAGAACTACCAGATGATCCAACAATTCCACTCTTGGGTATCTACCCAAAGGACAGGAGCACACTGTCAGAAAAGTGCTTGCACATCTATGTCTATTGCAGCATTATTCACAATCGTTAAGACATGGGACTAACCCAGATGTCTATGAATGTATGAAAGGACTGAAAAAATGTGGTACATATGCACTATAGAATACTACGTAGGCATAAAAACAACAAGACCCTGACTTTTTATAGAAAGTGGATGATTTACTGCTATGTGAGGCAATCCAGGTTATGAAAGAGCTATTGTATGTCTCCACTTAATATATATCGACTGACCCCACTCTATGGCAGAAACTGAAAGATTAGAGGATGTAGAAGCATGGAAAATGGTTATAGATACTGGATTCAGTGTGGGAAGAGGGTGAGAGAAGGTGGAGAGTATGAGGAAAGACATTAAGGAGAAAAATACAGAGGCAACACATTTATGGGATACATGAATGGATTATTATCTGTTGATGATAACATGTATAGTATGCTCAACTGGACTGGTGTGAGAAGTATTCATGTTGGTAAAATTCCCTTTACAAGCTAAGTGGTATATAGTGATTGGATGTATAAAAGAAATTAAAATTAAATTAAATTTTAAAAATTGCAAGTAGATAAGAGGAATGCGTTCTAGAGTACTGTAGAGTGATAAGGAACAATGTATTCAATGAGACTAATGAGGAATGGACCTAGGGCATTTAGGACACTGAGGCAATGGCAGTTGGGTGGAGGACAGAGAAAAGAAGGGCCTGCACTGGGCCTGGTAAGATAGGGTAGCCAGATCATGTGACTCTTGGTAGATTATATACTGGATTATAACCTTCAAATAACCCAAAATCAGCCTCTCTGCTTCCAAGTTATAACCTCTTCAATCATTATTACACACTACAACTAGATATATCTTTCTACAAGACTTGTTGAGATAGAGACATGTCAGTTTCCTGACTAAAAGAAAACAGAAAGAAAGAAAGAAAAAAAAAAAACAGAAAAACAAAAGTCATTACTTGTAGCTAATCACATCCTGTTAGACTCAGGTAGACTCATGTTGACTCACTGAGTTTTGGTATGGGTTGAATTGTGTCCTCTCAAAATGCATATGTTGAAGTCCCCCATACTTCAGTATGTGATCAAATTTGGAGGAAGGGTTCTTGTGGATATAATGAGTTAAGACGAAATTATACTGGCTTAGTATGGGCAGCTCATCCAGTATGGCTGGTGTCCCTCTGAGAAAGAAACATTTGGGCACACACGGAATGCCATGAGAAGATTGTGGTTATGCTGCTACAAGCCAAGGATCTATGAAAAGCTAGGATAGAGGCCTGGACAGATAGTTGGTCTTCAGCATTCCTCTCTGACCTTCCTAATACCCCTTTTCCAAGGCTTCAGAGTTTGTAAAAGTAAAAATATGCATCTTAAAAAGGATTAGAAAATTCAGATCTTAATTGTATATGTATTAAAGGATGTCCAATATTAAAATCCATAATTTTACAAAAGCCATAGCAAATAATGAATATATGACATTTTTTAGAGGGTTTTCCCTTAGGGTGTGTGCACTTATCAGAGAGATAGAGAGACAGTGAGAGGAAAAGTGAGAAATCACCTCCCAGCAGGGATGGCCATTCCACAATCAACTCTCCTCCATTCTCCTTCTGGGGCCTTGGATATGCACATACATGTGCCCAGAATGAGTTTCAAGCCACTGGGCCTGGGACTCAAATCATAGTTAGCCATATGGAAGCCCAGCAACATAACCACTATACCATGTGCTGATCCTGGTGCCTGTCTTATTATAGGTGTAGTTCTGTCATTAGCTGTGAATAAAATAGAGATAATAATATAAAATTGCTTTTTAACAGGACTGGAAATTTCTGCTATGATTCAGACATAGATAGTAATCTATTTTTTGCTTATATTTTAATACGATATTTAAAATCTTGTCTCCTTAATTAAATTTATTCACTAAAGCACAACAGAAATAAAAGATTAAACTTTCATGATATTATTTTAAGAAATCACATTAAACCACCTTGAGACATATGTTAATGTGTAAATAGTGTATGGTTAACCAGTTATTTTTTTAAAATCATTATTTTACCCCTAGTTAAGAGAAAAAGTCAAATGATATTCATGGTAATAGCTAGAGTATACAATATCTAAAGCAAAAGATTGCTTTCATTCATTTTATTTTGATGGAGACAAATCTGAGTTATGGTGAGAAATGGGTCATTAACCCAGCCCAAACCCCAAAATAAGCCCAAACCATAACAATTTTAAAAACTATTAAAAATGTGTACATGTACATGTGCATGTGTGTACATGCACATGTATGTGTGTACATGTGTGTGTGTACATGTGATTGTGTTTGGGTCTGTATTGATGATTTGTTATGTCCAATGAGCATGGAAAGATACAAGTTGTGCCGACAAAATGTCGCAAAAGCCACCTTTAGAAAATTTGAATTTTATTTTAAACATTGATTCTAAACATTAATGGTTTTTCTCATTTTCATCCTCTACATTTCAGTAGTTTTACCTGTAATATGTTTCCATTTTGTACATAGACTCAGTACCCAAAACAATTCTTAAGTAGAGATCAAATGATATTGAAGTGGACTATATAAAAGAGAGTGCATGGCAATTCAAGTAGGAGAAAGTGGTAAAGGACCTGAGTGATCACGTGACTCACTATCATACCACATCTTACAACAGCAGGTAGGGTCACATGCCCGGTGGAAGCCATAACAGTTCAGCAAACGTCATCCCACATTTTAAATTGATGTTATTAAATTTAAATTTCACTAGTTTCATGTTTTTTGTTTGTATTTCGTTTAGAAATACTGGCAGTCAATTACAACTTGTTTTTTTCAATAAAAACACTCCATACATTAACACAAACTTTAGAAACACCAATGACTAAAAAAGCTTAATAGAATGTCTAATTTCTAGTTCACAGGCTCTGATTACATGGTATACCAGTCAGACATGGAAGTCTAAAATTTTCATAAGTATTTCAGATAGTTCTAAAGTAGCTAATCTGCTAGAAACAAATCGATATATCTAAGTTCTTAGACTGGTTCACAAATTCTGGTTAGGTCTGTCCCTGCAAACTCCCCAGCTTAATTTCTTACTGCTTCACACAAGACACCTTTGTCCTTACAGTCATTGTAAACAACTCAAAGTACCTCCAATGTTCTAAACTCTACTTCTACTCAGTGCTTT